ATCGAACTAGATGGGTTCAGAAACTTAAAGGTCTGGATGTTTTTTTTGATAACTACATATCTGTTTTTCATTCAATGGAAGAAATGGCATACAATGAAGGTAAGAGTTATAATATTGATACTTCTTCAAAAGCTTCATATTTTTTAAATCTTATGACTAATTTTTCTTTTATTGTAAGTTTAGTTTTAACCAAACAAATAATGGACTATTTCTATGCTATCACTGTTGTTCTCCAAACTAAAGCGTTTGATACACAACAGTGTAATGAAATAAGTTGTTTAAAAACTCAAATTTTAGATTTAAAAAAAAAATATTGATTTCTATCATAACGAATGGTACTTAATTGCTCTTGATCTAGCTAAGACTCTTGATGTTTCAGAAGTTAAACCAAGGCTCTGTGGCAGACAAGTTTATAGAGATAATTATCCCTCTGACACAGTTTCAGATTATTTCAAATATTCCATCACATCTCCTATTCTAGATCATTTAATTAATGAATTAGAAGATAGATTTGATATAGGTGATATGGTTGTTTACAAAGGTTTATCTGGTATTCCTGCAACTGTTGTAAAAAAAAATAAATAAAAATGTTTTTGGAAGTTAGATTTTATGGAATTTTTGCATTTTTATATATCGGATATGCCTCATCCTACATCAATTCATGCTGAATTAGATTTGTGGGAAACATTTTGGAACAATCAATCTGTGATCCCATCCACTATTACAGAAACTTTAAAATCTATTGATATGAGGGGTTTCCCAAACATTAGGGAAGGTTTTTAAATAATGGGAACAATTCCAATTACTACATGTGAATGCGAGAGGAGCATTTCTGTTATACGCAGACTGAAAAATTTTATGCGAAGCCGCATGACAGAGTCAAGATTTAATTCTTTAGCTCTGATGTCTATTCATCAAGAAATAATTCCTGATGTAGAAAGAGTTTTGAATATTTTTTCTGTTTTAGGGGAACGACGCTTAGAGTTGGTTTTTACCTAATATTAATTTATTAATTTCTTTTTTATTTATTGACTATATTCTTGTATTTTAGTTTGTTTTATATTTAAGTTTATTTTATATTTCATGAAAATTCGAAAAAACAAAATTAAAAATTAAAAAAAAAAAAACTTTAAAAAAAAAATTGGCTATCAAGAAAACTGCCTATCAAGAAAAGGAAAGAATCCAGAAATGGAGGGCTAACCTAAGGCAACAATATTAATACTTTACATAAACTGCCTTTCAAGAAAAGGAAAGAATGCAGAAAGGAATGGCTAACCTAAGTTAATAATATTAATAATTTACATTAACTGCCTATCAAGAAGAGGTAAGAATCCAGAAATGGAGGACTAACCTTAGGCAACAATACAATTACTTTACACAAACTGCCTATCAAGAAAAGGAAAGAATCCAGAAATGGAGGACTAACCTTAGGCAACAATACGATTACTTTACACTAACTGCCTATCAAGAAAAGGAAAGAATCCAGAAATGGAGGACTAACCTAAGGCAACAATACAATTACTTTACACTAACTGCCTATCAAGAAAAGGAAAGAATCCAGAAATGGAGGGCTAACCTTAGGCCACATGACAGTTTACAGATGGAGTACAAAGTCCTATGGCTTACCTTCTCGTTGGTGCACTTCGTTAAATAGGTTAGACAAGTAAAAAATGTCTAATTTATGAACAGAATAGCCAAGGCAATATTGTTGTTAGTTTTGTTTTATATGGGTAATTGAGAACAATGCCCGGTAAGTAATAATAAAGTACTGATGCCGCTTTTAACTCCTCCCCCCCTCGCTAGCCCAGGGAAGGGGCTTACAAAAAAAATGTTGCAAACTATTTTGGCAACTTGAAAAAAAACAGGCAACACCCACAAAAAATCCTGCATCCGCCCCTGATATATTACAATACTACGTAAAGAGATTTTACATAATTTCTTTCTTTTTATTTTTTTATTTTGTTGATGTTAGTTTATTATAGTAATTTTTTTTACAAACTTTTAGTAAAAGGATGCGACTTTGCTGGATTACAAGACAGTTTTACTAAGGCCATGACCTAAAAGGCCACTTATACAGTTTGAAATTACATTTCAGGTACCAAAAATAATAAAAATTAAATTATAACTACTTTGTCCAAGAAGAAAATTTTTTTTCATGGACCTAGCTGTTATTTTTTAAGTTTGATTACTTACTGCAATCAAGTTTTCAAAATTATTTATTGCTTTTATGTGCAAAAGTTTAATTTTTTTATACGTAATAGTTAAATTTCAACTTTATCATTTTTGGTAACTAAAAGACATGTATTTTCACTCAATTTTGACGGGTAAGTGTTTGGTTTCCGGACGGGCCCCGTATGGTATAAAAATCAAGCAAATTTGCTTGATTTGGTTTTATCTGGTTTTTATCAGGGCCGAAAAATCTGGGGATTTGACGGGTTTCCCATAAGGTTACCAAAAGGTTTTAACTGATAGTTAAAAAAAATATCCTATTTCCAGTGGGCATGCGTCGTCCGGGGGAAGTCCATTGGACGTCTTACGGACGTCTGGAAGTCCATGAGACGTCGAGCAGACGTCCTCCGGACGACGCTTGCCCACTGGGTTACCAGGACTCTGTGAAAAAAGTACAGGATCTTCTTTCAGTTTCCTTGAGAAAAAAAATAATAAATGACGCATTTTGGTAACTAAAAGACATGTATTTTCACTCTGCGCAGGAGGCTTTCCTAGGTCAATTCGCCCAAAAAAAGACGGGTTTCCCATAAGGTTACCAAAAGGTTTAAACTGATAATTAAAAAATTATTACAAAACTTACTTTATGGTTGCCATTTACAATTCGTATTGTGTGTGAGATAAATTTAAAAATTTAACTTTTATGCATTTTATTTTTTGTATACATTATATTTACATTGTAATTAAAGAGAAATTTTTTTTCGGTGTATTTTTTCACTGTGAAACTCCATTGTAAAGACTTTATTTTAGAATTTCATTTATTTATTACCATTATAAAAGGGTTTTATTTTATTTTTTTAAATAAATTAACAAAGTTTAGCTAGGGTGCCTAAATACCTTTAATTTAAAATCAGAACATTTTTTAAAAAGTAGCAATTTTTAAACTAATGTTTATTACAACAAGAAAACATCAAATTCACACGTATTTATATCACATATATTTAGTGTTAGATATCTAGTTCAGCAAATTTTCGTCATCCAAAATCTTTTGATACATTTCACCTCAAGATAAAGAATGGTTATTTGAAGCAAGCATTTAACGGTTTTAGCATTCAATCGAGCCCGATCGTCTGTCCACTGCTTATTGCACAAGGAAAATATTCTTTCCACATTTTTTTCCCGCGTTTGATGTAGGAATCAATAATAATAAGCTTACTAGAGTTTTCAAATTAACAATTTTTTTGTTTCGAAACAAAGTGGAACATTTTTTATCAAACGGCAAATACTTTAACTTATCAAAAAACTACCTAATAGTTAAGAAACTGTAATAGCACCAAAAACTTATTGTTGAAGCCTTTTTTTCATCTTTTATTTAATAGTAATAAAATCATCTATCATTTCTGGTAACAGTAAATCTTTCTTTCCCAGAATCAATATAGTCTGCTAAAATAATTGCAAGACGCTATGAAGAAACAGGAAATAAATTTCGCTTGAACCATTGTTAAATAAATTTTCCAAAACCTTTGGAACATTGCAAGAAGAAAAGGCAAGCCCACAGTTTTAAAATGCGTCAATAAGTTATAGCATGCTCAGCCGCTTACTACACGAATGTGTTGGAAAAGTCGCATCTTCAATTTCAACGAATTCAAAAAATTCCTTAAACTTTTCATGGCGCTATTTCGACCCATTAAAATAGCTTAAATTTTTAAATGATATCATTTCAACGTCCAGTAATAACCTTTCAAATGCTTTTTTTGCAGCATTATGGCATATATGTGCAGGACAACCAACAGCAATTAATTTAGAATTCAAGGATTTTAATAAGGCCAAAATATTATTTTGCCCCTGTTGATTAGTACCGACAAAATTCATATTAGCATTGTCTACACCGTAGGCTACTAATTTTGTCGGATCAAGATTATTGTTTTGTAAACAATATTTTAAATATTCGAATATTTAATGGCCGAATAATAGCCGACGTTTCATCCGGTAAATAAGCAAAATCTAATAATTTTACAGCCAAACCATGCACTGAAAAAAATCTAATTATAATTGGAAAATTCTTTATTTCTTTGTGGTTGGAAGGGTTGGTAGCAATAGAAAAATAGCCATCTCGTAATTCGTTGAGTAGTTCCATTACTGAATTTGGCGCAAATTATAGCCTGAGACTTTGCTTAGGATGACGAAAACCTTTTTTTCTATTTCCGAATCTTGATAAATAGTTGTCAAAAGTTTGTTAGTACATTACTTCGTAATGTACTAACATTTGTTATGTCATTACTTCGGAATGAAAGCGAATAAACGACTGTGTGGTAGGCTAGGACTGCTTCCGCAGCAGATATTTTCTTAGATAACGGCGTATTTTTACTTCAATAAACAGCCCTATTTGAGCTATGGATCTCCTGCTTCTAAAGCAAGCGCTCTAACCACTGCGCTACGGCCGCACAAAATTGGTAACTTACTTAACAGATTTTTTTGATTTATTTGCTCAAAAATTGCGCAAATTCATAAAGTCTTCATCGGTGAGAAAGTAAAAGTAACGTAAAAGACATCTTAACATATCCAATTCCCAGTGGGCATGCGTCGTCCAGGGGACGTCCATTGGACGTCTTACGGACGTCTGGACGTCCATGAGACGTCCTCCGGACGACGCTTGCCCACTGGGTTACCAGGACTCCGTGAGGATCTTCTTTCAGTTTCCTTGAGAAAAAAAAAATAAATGACGCATTCTGTCATCATTTCTTTCCATCATTCTGACGTCATTCTTTTTCAAACAGACTCTGGTTTAACGTATTTAAATATTTACTTCTCAGTTAAAATAAAACAAATGATATGTAAATTGAGAAATCAAAAAAACAGAAGAAAGAAAAAAAAAACATTTTTAAATGAGAGTATTTTGATATTGAAAAAAAACACACAAATTAATGAAGGTATGATATAAATATTTTAAAATATATTCATATTGAAAAAAAAAAAACACGCGCACACAAAAATTTGTTCAATTATTTATTATTTAATAATTCTAATGCATTATATTTTAATGGATGTTTCAATCTAAATTGCATTATAAGTTTATACCTGCCATAAAAGTTGTGAAATTTTTATGCTTAAACATCTTGATATTAATTTATAAGCATAAGTAAATATGTTGATATAAATTTTTGATTTAGTAGATACTAGTTTTTTATTTTCTAAAAACGTTTTATATTTTTTCATTTAAATTAAATTCAGAACTGTTTCAATTAAACTCAGAAAGCACAAAAAACTATTTAAATAAAACAACCTTGCGATGTTGTTTTTAAAAGATATGATTAAGATGCAATTTTTTTGAATGAACGTTTGGTGTGAGTGAGGTAATACTTAAATAATAAGAATCAGACTTTTAAATGTTTAGATTTATAAAGGATCCGGTGGGAAATGCTTTATAGCGATTTTTTCCCCTATTTTAGTATTTCCTAATGTCTTTAACATTTTTTATAATTTGATTTTTAGCGTTGAATCTATTATAATTATGAGCTTTAAACATTGCGATTTTGTAGCAATGTGTCTTTAGCTACATTACGTAGCTTTGTAGCTAGCTACAAAATATTTACAAATCTATAGCTGGTTGATAGTTACATATCAAATTTTTTTAAACAACGACTTTATTACAATATGACGCTAGCTACAATAGCCAGTGATTCTTTAGTTTATTAAGCTGGCTGTCCTTTTAGCCAAATGTCTGTTTTTATCTTTACAATCTCGATAGCTTATCACTAACTTAAAAATCTAGCGATCCTCGTGGCCAAATTGCTGTCTTTATCGTTACGATTATAGCTGCTATTCGCAAGCTGATTTCCCACCATGGAGCGGATAGACGTTATTTAACCAAACCAATAATAGTTAGATTGAAAAAAAAGTTATTAGAAGAAAAAAGGAGATAATTAACAAATGAGAAATATCACCATAACTAATAGCGCTTTTATGTGAAAGACCAACTTAACACAAACTTGGCACACGTGATTTTTTTGATATATACGATATGTCCATATATTCATAGTTACTGGTATCCTTGGCTATACCATGTTATGTATGTATTATACATACCACCTGGTGGAAAATGAGTTAGTAACTAGCTAGCTTTATAGCGATTTTCAAGCGATTTTCAAGCGATTTTTTTTTCTTATTTTATTTTTTCCTAATGTCTGAAACATCTTTAAAAATTCAATTTTTAGTGTTGAGTCTATTATAATTATGAGAATAAAATTTGTTTTCTGTTTCCATGCTTAAAATTTTGATTTTTATAAAAAATTATTGTCAACAGATATTATTGAATAAAAAATAGGGTTAGCAAAAATAAAAACTTGGATAAAACTATATTGAACACGAGTATATAAACCTTTATGATATTTGTTCATGTGTAATCAATTCATTCAAATCTGTTAAATTGTAAGGAGTAACTCTAGATTAGCATCTTACCTTTGGTCCTGATATAGAAAATGTTAAAAAAAAAAAAATGTCAGATCTTAGGAGAGCTAGTCGGTACCTAATTCGGGACCTTCTAAGGTCGGCTACCATTATATATATATATATATATATATATATATATATATATATATATATATATATATATATATATATATATATATATATATATATATATATATATATATATATATATATATATATATATGTATATATATATATATATATATATATATATGTGCATGGCCGGTGCGAAGGGGGGTGGGGGTGGGGGTGTAATACCCCCCCCCCCCCATCAATGACTTTTAGTCGGCAAATTTGACCTTTTTCGACTAGTTAGTCGGCAAAAGTCGACCCTTTCGATATAGGGTAGTCGGTAGTTTAAACAGTTAGTCGGCAAATGTCGTCATGCAGTCGGCAAATTTTCGAAAACGAGGACCTTTTTTTTTTTTATAATTTCTTACGTTACACCTACTCGCGCGGCCCTGTATATATGTATATACATATATACAGAAAAAGCTTGAGTATTCTAGAGTGATTCTTTTATGTGCGACACTATCATAGTTAAGAATTTTTAGTTTTCCTGCTCGATTCTTTTTAATAAAGAAATTGATTCGTATGCTAACTTCAATTATTTAGTATTTTATGCAGATTTACAATAATTTATGATTAAATTTCAAGTAATTCCTCAAGTCATAATTCAGCAATGTACAAAGTTTGATCGAATAAAAATGAATATTGTGAATGATATTACATCACAAAGTTGTTTAATTTTAGGCATTTCTTAGACAATTATGCAGTTCTGAAATTATGGAGTTCTGAACGCTGATTTTAAAAATATTTCTCATCATGAAAATATTATACTTTTTAGTAGTATAGCACCTAAAGTTTAAGTTCGTTAAAAAGTTATATGTTCATTAAGTTATATGTTTATGAAAGTATTTTTTAAATATTCTTTCATTTTAAAAAATTATGAGAAAAGTATTCATATCGACGATCATCCCAGGAAAAAATGTTCTATAGAATTTTTATAAACTTTTGAAACATATGGCCTTTAAAAATTCTATAGAACTTTTATAGAATTTCTATAGAATGTCTATTAATTTCTATAGAAATTGGTTTAATATTTCTATAAAAAAAAGTTTTTTAGCAATTTACCTGGTTATCTTCAAATGAATTTTCTCTTGCAAATGCTGTGCATTTATAAATATGTATTATGCTGTAAATTGCTGTCTAAAGCTTTATTCCAGTCATTAGTTGACTCTAGAAGATTTGTACACGTAGATCTTTAGCATAAAAAGCCGTGTTGATTATGTGTTATTAGATTATTTATATTAAGATAATCAGTAATACTTGAATTAACAATACTTTCCATGACACGACAGCTTGTGCATATAAGGGAGATAGGTCTATAATTATTAGCATCTAAAATAGATCCTTTTTTAAAAATGCGTGAAACTGTAGCTTGAAGCCACTGTTTTAGTAACGAGCTTGACGTAAAACTTGATTCAAATATATATGAAAGCGGAATACATATTATATGTGCTAATACCGTCAGGTCCAAATGACGTATTAGGTTTTAGATTTCTTAGTTTTTGATAAGTTATCTTCGCTGAAAAATCTACGAAATTCATCTTAATATATTCACTAACAAAAGTATTTATTTTAAGCAAATTTCCTTCATCTACGGTAAAAACACTTCCAAAGTGTTTATTTAACACTTCCGCAATTTCAACATTGGTAGTAGTAAAGTTGCTATTTGTTTTTAGAGGAAATATTTTTTGGGGTTATTTAGATTTTTGTTTACGTAACTAAAAAACTTACTTAAGTTATTATCTTTGACCAGTTTTATTTCTACATTTTTGTGGTGTACTGTTGATACTGTTGATTAATTTTAAATGAAGTACTGTTGATTAGTTTTAATGTTAATCGCTTATACGACGTGATTGAACTCAGTATTGCAGAAGTTACAGAAGCCCTACAGCTCAACATTTTTCAATTAATGAAATTTGAATCAGCTGAATCAAAATGGCATTTAAATAACATAGACTTTAATAAATTAGATTTCAAATACCTTATTTGAAAATAATCTAAAATTTTCAAATTAAATAATTTAAAATCATCATAAAACCATCATCCCAGGAAAAAAAGTTCTATAGAATTTTCTATAAACTTTTGAAACATATGGCCTAAAGAAATTCTATAGAATTCTATTGAATTTCTATAGAATTTCTGTTAACTTTTTTTCTACTTTTTTTTTTTTATAGAAAAATAGTTTTATAGCAATTTCTATAGGAATTAATAGACTTCTATAGAATTCTATAGAATTTCTATAGACAATATATTTCAAAAGCTATAGAAAATTTTATAGAACTTTTTTTCCTGCGATTGCATGTTTTTAGCAGTTTTCAATTGAAGAAATCTGAATCAGCTGAATCGAAATGAGTTAACATGGACTTCGATATATTAGATTTCAAATATCTTTTTTTTAAATTCCAAACTAAATAACTTAAAATCATCATAACACCATCTTTTCGCGTCATTGTCTTTTATGCTTCTAAAATCTATTAGTTTATTAAAAAATCATTCTTTAATACTTATATTTATTAATATCTTCTTGTTTATAAAAAAACTTAACTCAATTATCTGTTGATTTTTTATTGTAATTAACACTACTTGATTGTATTTATTTGGAAATATTATTTGCAAAAGTATTTTGCAAAAGTTTTTGTGAGTTTTCCATTTTATTTATTATTTATAATGCATTAGAATTTTTAACATTAAAAAAAGCACATGTGTAATGGAGTACGGTGATAAAACAACTTGTCTCAACTTGTATTACTGTATCTTTTTTATTGTAATTTTAAGAAACGGTAAATAAATAAATAAAAGAATAGGCATTGTTAGTCCAGAAATTCTTGGCATCCTATATCACACTCAGAGCGTAGAGCAAGTAGTAAAACTAGTATTGAAACCATCCCAATATGTTGGTATAAGGGTTCGAAAAATAAACTCAGTTTCATTTTAATCAAATTATTAAACAGAAAGATGCGTAAAACATATATTTTATAAAGAATATTATTCCTATTTTTGTGATAATTTTTTATCGACTGTATATTGTTTTCACAAAAATCTTTAAAGTTAAATCCGCAAGCAATTCTTCGTTCATAAATTTTGAGAGTAATCTTATTATTTTGCAACACCTAAATATACTCTTGCTGCCTTGTTGTGCTCTCCACTGCATACAGCCCTTCAACATAAACTTCAACATAAACACTGCATACAGCCCTTCAACATAAACTTCAACATAAACACTGCATACAGCCCTTCAACATAAACAACATAAAATCATAAACTGAGATTATAGAACACATCATCACTGATGTTGGATGCTTCACAGATTTCACTGGGCAATCAGCAATGTATTTCTAATTAGAACAACGTCAAACGTACTGAGACTTCCCAG